TCGATCTATCTATCTATCGATCGATCGATCTATCTATCTATCGATCGATCTATCTATCTATCGATCGATCGATCTATCTATCGATCTATCTATCTATCTATCGATCGATCTATCTATCGATCTATCTATCTATCGATCGATCGATCTATCTATCGATCTATCTATCTATCTATCGATCGGTCGATCGATCGATCTATCTATCGATCTATCTATCTATCGATCGATCGATCGATCTATCTATCGATCTATCGATCTATCGATCGATCGATCGATCTATCGATCTATCTATCTATCTATCGATCGATCGATCGATCTATCGATCTATCTATCTATCTATCGATCGATGGATCGATCTATCTATCGATCTATCTATCTATCTACCTATCTATCTATCTATCGATCGATCTATCTATCGATCTATCTATCTATCTATCGATCGATCGATCTATCTATCGATCTATCTATTTATCTATCTATCGATCGATCGATCTATCTATCGATCTATCTATCTATCTCTCTCTCTCTCTCTATCTATCTATCTATCTATCTCTCTCTCTCTATCTATCTATCTATCTATCTATCTCTCTCTCTCTATCTATCTATCTATCTATCTCTCTCTCTCTCTCTATCTATCTATCTATCTATCTATCTATCTATCTATCAATATATCTATCTATCTATCTATCTATCTAATCTAATCTAATCTAATCTAATCTAATCTAATCTAATCTATCTATCTATCTATCTATCTCTCTCTCTCTCTATCTATCTATCTATCTATCTATCTATCAATATATCTATCTATCTATCTATCTATCTATCTATCTATCTATCTATCTCTCTCTCTCTATCTATCTCTCTCTATCTATCTATCTATCTATCTATCTATCTCTCTATCTCTCTATCTCTCTATCTATCTATCTATCTATCTATCTCTCTCTCTATCTATCTATCTATCTATCTATCTATCTATCTCTCTATCTCTCTATCTCTCTATCTATCTATCTATCTATCTATCTATCTATCTATCTATCTATCTATCTATCTCTCTCTCTATCTATCTATCTATCTATCTATCTATCTCTCTCTCCTCTCTATCTATCTATCTATCTATCTATCTACCTATCTATCTATCTATCTGTCTATCTATCTGTCTATCTATCTATCTATCTATCTATCTATATATCTATCTATCTATCTATCTATCTATCTATCTATCTATCTCTCTATCTCTCTATCTATATCTATATCTATATCTATATAGTTATCTATATGTGATCAACTTAACTATAAGTGATCAACTATATATATATAGTTACAGTTATATCTATATGTAAGATTGCATATAGATATGTTTATATATATATATATTTAGTTATAGTTTGTTATATTTTGGTATAGTTTGTTACAAGTTGTTATAGTTTGCTATAGAGTGTTTTACCTTGCTATATAATTTGTCGTATTTTGTTAAAAATTGCTATGCAACTACATATATATATCATCTATAATCAGTAATTATGTATAAATCATGTGTAAATCTATTGGTTTCTTATTCACACAATATATTTTTCAGTATTTATCCTATGATTATACAGTACCCCAAATGTTTGGCAATCTCAGCGGGCAAAATATTGCCAAAAACTAGACGAATGGCCTTTCTCTCACTCAATTCCTGGACGTAAATCTAAGGAGTATCACCATAGACTCTTAGCCATGATTTCCATCTTGTTCGAACCTGAAAAACAATTTGGACTGTCAAAAGTCATAGCTTTCCTGCAAGAAAAAGCAAGCCAGCGACATGATATACCTGAATATACTTGAATACAAACCAGCTGCTTTGAGTGTGTAAAATATATAATTATATATATATATACACTATCATCATGCGTGCGCATGGGTCTATTTCAACGCTACGTCTGGCTGGACTACATGTCCAGCAGAAGCCTGGCTCGCAACATGCTGTTTCTGCCGGATTCGGATCTCTCCTCGTATCCAACGTTGCTTCAATAGCCCGATTTTCTACTCGTTACCCTGTAAATTAACAAAGGCATAGGTATGGAAAATCCATGGAAATCCACCATTTCATACCATTTGCCCTCTGGTTATTTAACGGTTTGCCATGGAAAATCACCATTTCTGATAGGTAAACCATCTATAAATGGGCCATTTCCCATGGCTATGTTAAATAACCAGATGGTATATCATCTATAGATATTTAATGATATTTATAGATCGTTTCCTAGCACTTTGTCACTTCTTTTCCATATCCTGGTATGTCCCACCTTTTGAGCTTTATAGGATGTGTTTATCATGGCCAACCCCAACAAAAATTAATGAAAATAAAGATATAGCATGATGTAGCCGGTCAGTAAACACTCCCATTTGTAGCAAAAAATGACGCACTAAACCCTCCCCAACCCGGTTGGCGATGAATCTCAACCGGCCTTGTAGCCATGGGGTTTGTATTCTTCGCCTCGCCAGGCTAAGAATAAGAATGTTGGAGCTGGTTGGGCAGATAGACCCCCACTTCCATCATTTCCCGCAAGAGAAATGAAGTTATATCAGTTCTACTAGCCCATCCCAGTTGGTTTCCACAGATATCTGTAGTATGAACCATTCATCATTCAGTGCCAGCAGGGCCCAGCAGGGCATGAGCAAATACACATGGGTCGGATCAGGATTGTATTTTAGCCATCTCTATCCATTACAGTTGTGGGCTATGGCACAGGGTCAGCCACGCATGGCTTTTAAAAACCTATGCCTTTGTTGATTCCAAGTCCTACCAAACAATTTGCTCAGAATCTACCTGTCCATTGGCCTGTGCTCTAAAGTCTATTGATGTGTGTAGGTGGCTCCTTTTTTGTATGTTATTGAGATTCACGACTATATAAATGTGACATAATGTGACAGAGTGCCTTGCTATGTGTCAACCAACTGCACCTGAGCACGGGCCACCTTTTCCGAGGCCACATATTTTGATGTATTCCTTTGTGAATTTTCGACCTGCCCATGTCAGATCAGTGGCCCAAGAAGAAGAACTTTCGGAACTTCGACTCCTTGTCCTTCAGTGCTTCTTGGACGAAATTTGCTTTCCTGGGCTGAGAAAATCAAGGCCATGACCATCTGTTGGGAGCCCTCAATCCAACGCCAGGACACTTGCCACAGTGGTTGAAGACAAAATCCAAGACAAGCTTTAGACCTCAGAGTTCGAGATGAAGTCCAAGTCTTTTTGGGCGAAAATGAGGTTTCAGGCCATGCGATTTGGATCTTTGGGGGCCTCAATAAAAATAACCCTGATATGTTCCGGGCGTTTCCAATGCTCTGCAGCTCTCTCTCTCAGCTTCTTCGTTGATTTGAGCCGTTCCAGAAGTTCATCATCCCAAATATGATTCAAATATATAATGATAAGATATGATAAGTATATACTGTACGTTGAAATGGTATAACACTTTTGGATCTTTGGGCACCTCTTATCTCGGTTGCAGGTAGCATGCAAACCACTTCATGGGCTATGCTGAATGGAAAACCGATTGGAATTGCAGCAAAGCCGCCCTTCTCGTGCAGCGTCTCCACCAACTTCTTGAAATCCTCATCCGTGCCGTATTGAGCCTCGGCGTTCGTGCTGCTCGCCGTGACAGGGAATCTCACTTGGTTGTAGATTTTTGCTCGTCCTATTGAAAGAGTTTGAAGGATGATTTTTCCATTTGCAGATGGATCGAGGGCATGCATAATATCGATCTCATAGGTCTCTTTGGCCCCCAAACATCACCAAACCCCATTGATCTTTCCATATCTCCAAACCCAGCTTGCCACCCTGTCGCCCTTTTTGAGCAAGGGACATCCATCTCGTGGTAGTCGGAGGTGTCGTACTTGTGGTTGGAGTAGGCCCTGGTGATGGGCTGCAAATACATCACGTCCACACCTGCGAACTCACCCGGATGAGGCCAAAATGGTGATAGAAAAACACTTCACTACTGGAGGTGCTGAAGTGTGCAAATGCTTTGTAACTGGTGTATATCATGATATATCATGATAATATATGATAGTATTATTCAGTAAACCCATCTCCTCACATCTCACCAGATTTTCCAGCTCATCAATGCCCATGGCCCATCTCGAAGCTTCCCCGGATCTGCGCCTAAGTCGCAAATGTAGTCCATCTTGCTCATCATGCTGGGAAGATCGCCGCCCCAAAAGGCCAGCTCGTTGCCTGAGTTGCTGCCCAAGATCAACCAAGATCAACCCAGGTTGTTCCAGGTAGTTCCAGGTGGCCGTAGGGAATACAGATAGAATACCCGGTAGACCCTCCAAAGCCCCCCAAAAAAAAACATGGAAAAAATATGTAAAACTGAAACATTCTTTTTAATGGTGCTTGGAAGGTCTAGGCAATGACCAATTATGCACTTCATCATTGGGCCGCTCGAACCCAATACTGTTCCAGCGATTCTTTTTTCGGGCACAGCACAACACTCAATAAAGACTACCCTTCGGTAAACTAACAGTTTGCGAACTTGAAAATGGCCCATAGAAATAGTTGATTTACCTATTAAAGTGGTGATTCTCCATAGTTGTGTAAACGATTGTAAACGTTTACCAGAGGCTAAATGGACACTGATGGACCCCGATCTGAGCACCCCACTGTAGTACCCAGCAGATTCCACCAAGTGTCCACCCTGGCGCTTGATTCTGGGGATTTTGAGGTGGGCCAGCACAAAAAACCATCCCAAACTGCCAGGGATGTGGGTGCAAACATCCCTAAGTCAGCGGTTTCTTGAGACATCCACTTTCATCTGTCTAGTGGGATTGCCCTCTAGATAAGGCAAGATTTTGAAGCCGCCCATGGTTCTTCATGGCGCATAAATGCATAAAGATACACACCCACAAAAAGTTGTCTGTGCATATACATATACATACACGCACAAACACACACACACACATATATATATATATACACATTATAACAACAACAACAACAATAATAATAATATATGTATACACACACCACCCCCTCCATCGCCCTAGTGCAGAATCTTGGGCGGCCCATGAGCAACAGTGCACTGCGCCTTTGGTAGCTCCTCCCAAGTGTGGAACGTGGCCTCCTTCAACCGGGCTCGAAAGTTGACATCCCCATGGCCAACCTCCCCTCTGAAGTAAGGGACTTCTTCTGGGCACCAAAATGCCGAGGGCAATGAAATGCGCTATAGGACTAGCAATATAAGTGCATATGATTATATAAATTATATAGTCATATATGCACATATAAATATATATATATATGGTAGCAGACCATTGTGAACTCAAGTATGCAATCACAAATGCAATTCCCACCTCATCACCTCCACACAGCATATGTATACATCATATAAGTGTAGTCATAATCAAGTTGCGGGTAAACTCAACACAGCCATAGCTCCGCGTGCCAGGCCATGTCGGGCCTCAGGGTACAAGCTCTTCTTCTTCTCCAAGTCACTGGAGGCCGCAAAGCGATCCACGTAGATCTGATAGACCACGGCGCCAATGCGCCAATCCAGTTCTCGGCGTTTCCTTGGGGGCCGATTCAACCACCCATATGGATTGATGGTTAAAAAACCACCCATAAACATGGTAGATTTAAGGGGATGGTTTAGTATTGCTAACTGTTAACACTAGTGACTAGTGGAATCTAATGGGACTTCATTGGATTTGTTTGAAAAAGATATGGAAAATCCATGAAGAAAACTGTTAGATCTTATAGTTCATAATGATCATGGTGAATTTGTCATATCTCTGTTAGTTTGCGGACGGACATTTTTTGGGAAAGGGCGTCTCAAAATGAAAGTCAGCCTCCATGGTGCACCAGTCCCATCCATCCATTCCATAAACCTGGGTCGTTTAACCCTTTCACCAAAACCCTTGGGACAACTTTAAAGTTTTCTCAATCAAATGAACCCACATGATCCCACATTCTGGGCCTGCCCCAGACAGAAGTTGACCTTCCTACTTCAATCTACCATCTCCTCAATGCGCCTGGTTCCAAGGCTCATTTCCCTCATCACCACTCTAGCCCTTGGGAGTCGAGTGCTCAATGGGCGCGCTGCCGGCTCCTGCAGTGTCTCAGCCTTGGCGCCGCGCAGCGCAGGGCTGCTCTTGGCCTTTGCCTGCGATCTGTGAAGGTTTGATGTGGCTTGAACCTCTAAGGAGGCTAAGTATGTGTATAGGCTGTGTAGCTATGTAGAGAGAGAAAGGGGATTGTAAATGGTGCAGAGCAGGCTCGCAAACAAATTTTCCATAGGAAAGCTTAAAAACATTTCTACAACAGAGGGTTGTCAGTTGGGACCGTGACCGAAAGTGGAAGGGTGAATATTGATACCCGTCTCTGTGAATTACAGTAGAACAGAGGTATAAACAGAAAAATAGTTCCAATAATTCATCAACCATCCCCAATAAATCATAATAAATCAAGATAGTACAAGTCCCAAAAAAATCACCACAATCGCAAATACCCTCCTGGTGATTTTCCCTAGCTGTGTAAGCTTACCATACCGGGCAAACCATCAAACAATTCACCATTGGTGGGTTTGGTTTTTCCATTTCTGGAACATCGACCATTCAAATTTCATCAAATTTCCCCATGTTAGTTTACGGTCGCTGGTAAATCACCCATCCCGAATAAATGAAGTAGCCTCTGGTAAACTAACAGTTTGCTATTGAACATGGCCATAGAAATAGTGGATTTTCCCATGAAAAATGGTGGATCTTTCCAGTTCGCTATGTTAGTCATTACCAGAGGGTAGCATAAAGCCCCAAGAAATTGCCGCCTTGGCTTTGGCTTTGGCTTTGGGCTCGGCCTTGGATGCCTTGGCTTCCGCCTTAGGTGGCATCCATAGGAAACCACTGAAGAAATGGTGTTTTCCCATGGGAAAAATTGGGATTTCATGGGGATCTTAGAGCTGGTTTATGGTCAGTTGGTGAACATAACAGAACTCCGATAACTACTGCTTATTTTTTGCTGATGTTTTTATTTTTTTTATACATAACTCCAGTTTGATTGGGATGAAATTCCAACTTATAACTGGGGGGCACCACGTTGCAGAGAATCATGGGTTGATAATTCAAGTAGCACATAACGAACATGTATCAACATAAAACCACGAATAAACATCCAGATCATCCATACCACGCTTTTTTCGTGTACAAAAGTGGGACGGTTTACATTGGGCCTGCCAAATTAGGGCTAGGGCTTATACATCAAAAAAAATAGAGCATATATCCCCTGAAACCTAGCAAAACATGTTTCAAGATGATGTTCAAAATACCTTTGGATATAATTATAATTAGAACATATAGAACGGCACATTGCAGTGGCGAAAACACATGGCAATTTCGGATCTCCCCGATTCCTCTGGCTAGTCGGCTACTAGTATTACTAGTACTTTTTGCTATTGGATGAACTTTCCATTTTTTTGCTACCCAATTCACGCATTTTGTTCATTGAGATCCCAAACTCTGTCCGTCTTGGTTGAACCCCATCATGTTCCAGGCGAATTTCCCCCATTTCATTCTTAGCCTCAGTCTCAGATACCCTACACAACCTTTCACTATTGGTGGCATGACTTTAGCCCCTTTTTTGCATACCATTCACCAAGGACTACTCAGATGTTGGCTGAAACTTCAACAAATGCACGGATTCTACCAGACATCAACTTCCATCAGCCCTGCCAGTCCTTCTTGCCCTTCACTGGCTTGCAAACCTGCCGATTGATTTCGCCCGGGTCTCCCTCCGCTGGGGACACCCCTGGCTCACCTTTCAGTAGGGTGCAACCCCCCAAAAAAGTGATCCTATTTATAAGAAAATGAGGCTGCTCATCAGCAAGAGAGGCATTGACAAAAAACAGAAAATGGCTGAAAATGCTGTGTGTCAGCCTATCATCCAACATCAGAATATCAACCAACAACAAATGTGGATATTCAACAGCAATCACTCATTGACCAACAGAACCCAACAGGTATGGGTGATCATCCCAAGCTTCAGTGAATGTACTTGACTCAGGATCACCGTTCATCGTGCATCCCTTTGCATGGATTTGTCCGATGGTTCCTTCATAAGCTAGTATAATTCTTGTAATAAGCTACCACTTCGGAATTTGGGGCTCAGTTGTGCCATGCCACACTGCCTGCTCCCAGTAACTTAGCACATCCTTCTTCTTGTAGCCTTGCGCCTGCCACACGTCGCGTCACGGGCGGCCGTACGGATAGGATGTCTGGGAACCATAACATCGTGTCATGCCCTCGTCCAGAAACATGGATTCACCAATCCATAGTCATATCTAATATAGATTCTAATTTAATAGTTATCCCCCAAAAACAGAAAAGTAAATCAATATTGAAACAGGGCTAAATAACATTACAAAACCGCCTTCCAACATGCGCGGGACTTGATGCAACGAGCTCTGCTCCCATGGGTGTATTTAAGTCTTTCTAGCAGCAGTGCAACTGTCTACCTACATCTATTGTCAGGTCCCACTCAAATAAACATAAACATGATCAAGTATATGGCTATTCTTCATATATAGAAACCCTTTCAAAGGATGGAAAAATAATGTTATCAATATTTTAATTCGAGTTGTGCTCCGGAGACCACGCCGTGTAGTGGGCCAGAATCTCGTCGTACCTGCCGCCAGTGGCTTTAATGGGAAGATATAGATACAACTAGTATTTGGCAAAACCCAAAATTATAGAACAGTAAAATCCTACAAAATTGTGATGACGTATCAATGGCCATTTCAGGAACCTAAATGGGAGGTACCTACCATATATAAGGCCTATATAAGGCCTATGTAAGGGAATATCCCCACAAAATATGGCCTTATATGGTACAGTACCTCCATTTTAGGATCCTGGAATTCCCATTGAACGTACTTTTCTATCTTTTTGGGTGGTTGCTTGCAGAAAATTGTGATGAAGTACCTTTCTATCTTTCTTGGGTGGTTACCTGAACCACTGAAAATGGGGATTTCACCAACAGGCATGGGATTTAGATGTGATTTAACAATCAGCAATGATGTCAGTATGAATTTAATGAGGATATACAACTGCCATCAAAAAATAGGTATCTAACCGATAAAAATAGTGGTGTAGGATGTGAAGGAGATATGATGGGGATATTTTGGGGAGAAACAAATGGACGATTTTAGGGATATGTATGGATAGTTCATGGTATATCTTATGGTATATCTTATGGATCAATGGAATTAGCCAACTCAAAATGATATGTGGATCTCATGGGCCGTCAAGTGGGGGGTTGCCCTGCCCTATTCTCAAACAAAACCAGATCAACAATAAATACCATCAACATCGAGCGGTAAATGACAAAAAAAAACTCGTAAACTCCATGTCAGCCCTTAGTGTTGCATTTATTCTCCTGGTTACTACTGGGTTCCTGATTTTCAGACCTTTTTCTTTGGACAGTCATCCCTAGCCATGACCGGAAAGCTAATCAAGTCTTTATCACTTTATATGTCTGAAGTTTAAACCATCACGAACCCTCAGTCCGCTTCAACCATCTCGTGAACCAGCTTTTTCCACAACATGTTTGATAACACCATCAAAGAGTCATGGATTGCTAGTGATCTCCCCATGTTGTTCATTGTTTCTCTCTCTCTCTCTCTCTCCCCATCGCCATCTCAGGAGATGGCCTATTTGCTGCTTGCTATTTGAATCCATCTTTTCAAACACATCTTTGGCCACTTAAACACATTTGAAACTCCATAAACTCATATAAAATCCACATGTTGCTCCTTCTTCTACAGTTCTGCCCCTTTTTTTTCTGTCAGCTAACCCCAGGGCACGGGTACGCCACGCCATCCTCCGGATCCTTCCGCCGTTCCATGGCGCAAAGCGACGGCGTCGCGCGGCAACACGCGTTTGCAGAGCTGAGGATGGCAGCGGTAACATATTTGCAGGACGTCCCATGGGAGTTTTATAGCATCATACGTTTGATATATACGGCGATATATATATATATATGCGGTATGTGTGTGTGTATGCATATGTAAATGTAAATGTATATGTATTAGTATATTATATACATATTTATATATATATATATTACTATAATATATATATATATGTGTGTGTGTAGGAGAATCATGGATGTTTTATCAGGCTTTTAGAGATTTCAGCAACACTTGTTTGGGGGTTTCGATGGTTTAACCATCAACAAATAGGGCCCTGTTTGATGGGGATTGTGATAGGGCCTATCGAAAGATAGGAGCGGGGTACGCCAAATTGGTAGTGAGTGGGTTCTAACCGTGAAACTTCATGAAGCATACCCAGTTATGTGGATTTAACCGTGAAAAAATGGGTTCACAATAACAACCAACCAAGTGGAATTACATGGAACTATTTTATAAACAAAATATAAACAACAAAAAATGTAGCTCAACCCTCCAAAACATGGGTCTTCCTTTGACCAACAAAAAAAACAAACATATGGGTACTGTAAACTTGGCGGTTGAATCATCCGTTCCTCTTCATGTTCAAATACCCCCCAACGCCTCTGATGGAAGAAATCCTACTTAGTAGACCAGTGGCTGGTTTGGGGAGGGGCTTAAGACATCTTAAGACTAGGGGATATCAAACATGCACAAGATCTGCGGTTGGTGGGGCTACATGGGGCTGCCCATATTTCATGGGATAGCTCCCTGGCTAGCTTCTGAGGCATCATTTTGATGCTAGTCTTAGATATCCTGGATGATAAATGCATCAACAACTCAATCCAATTCATCCCTTCCCTCATTCACAACCGCAACCAAAAAATCTGACCCGAAAATGTTTTGGGGCATATATATACTCCATTGGAAAAATCAAACATCATATTGTTGACTACATGTTCTGCCTCCCCTTGCATCCCACTCTCGGTATTTTGGTTCCATTGTACATATATATATATACATGTGTGTGTGATTATGCAACTATATATATATATACGTACTTCTTTACAAGTAAGTAGCACTAATTTATTGATATGTTATTGATACATATACCACCGTTGTATCCCGTTTTTATATCCAAGTCCATCAATGAAATCCATATGAACCATGCGTTTTCCATGCCAAACATTCACCGTCCTCGGCCCCAGTGCGTTCTTGTGCAATGCATCGGCACAGGACTGGCAGAAGGACATGAGGCACCTCGCAGCTCGGAGCTTGGAAGATGCTTGGAAGATGGGAATGTTCAGCAATGTCAGCAGGATCTTGGGAATTTGCTTTAATGCATTTTAATGCATTCGGATCATTTTGGAGGTCGAACGAAGAATGTAAGAATTATCAAAGACTATCAATCGAATCAGATCCGAAAGAATCTGACGCAAAATGCGAAGTGGAATCACACCAGCCATCATCGAAACTGAAACAGCGGGATTTTGTGTCTCTAATGAAAAGACTTGAAAAGAATCAAAGGTCTTAAAGATCATCACCGCATTTTTTGAAGATGCAACTCACAAATAGCTCCAAGTATGTAGTGTGCTAAACCAGCAGTAAACAGCATGTTCTTTGGGTCTCAGTCACATTCCTTAAATGGATTTGGAGGTCTGGATTCAGCGTGGATTCCCGGCTGCACTCAGGGCGGGGCTGGTTGCATTTGAGGGTGGACTGCATCACGCCACATGACTGGCATGGGATTTGCAGGTTCCGGAACCTCGAGGACGAGCTGGGTATCCCGGGGTCCCCCGAGCTTCACCAGATTCACCCGGCAGGGAAGCAAGGAGGTCGAGTGGCCAGGTTCCGTACAATTGTTTATCATAAATATCTCCTTGTTCCATAGACTTTTTGTAAAAAATATCCATATGACTTGACGGTATACATTCCATTTCACCACCTCTGGAAGCTTCCAAAGTGGTAAACCTCTACTGCGCACTGATTTCCCCATGAAGATCTATCGACTCAGGCGGCAGCTGCTTGTTGAACAACATGTCCGGCTGTGAAAAGAGCAAACCATTCACCGACCTCAAATCCGGCCACACCAAGTGCCGGTGTCAGGCTGCTGCTGTTCCTTTCCCAGGTGTTTTTTCGGAAAAAATGTCCGGTGCCGCTTAAATGTCTCACCAAAGTTCCGGCTGGGTGTGTTGATGGTTTCATCTGGTCTTAACCCTCCGGTAAACTAACATATGGAAAATGGTCCATTTATAATTGATTTACCTATCAAAAGTGGTGAGTTTCCATACTTATGTTAGTTTACCGGAGGGTATCATTATGCTCCCCGGAAAAAACACCTCAACATGAACCCCAAAGGTGACCATATGCTAAATCTCCTTCCATTCAAATTCTCTATATATACCATCTGGTTATTTAACATAGCCATGGAAAATCACCATTTTTAACAGGTAAACCATCTATGAATGGGCCATTTTCCATGGCTATGTTAAATAACCAGAGGGTATATATCAAATCGAAATGTTCTTTGGCTTAAATCCAAATCCAAATTTTTCTTGGCTTTAAAAACCAATGATATAATCCAATGTTTTCCCATAGGCCAGCCATTTGGGAATGGTTTATACCACCCATTATTGGATGAATGCTTTTTACCCAACATGGGGGTTTCCAATCCATGGGTACTGCCAAATCATCAAAGTCATTAGCCTCATTAGACCATTTTAGTATTGAAACCTATGGTTTTGGATATTTTAATAGTACATCAACATTAACCCCATGAAATGCAGATCCCATAGATGATTTTCCCATACTATATCATACTATTAAAGGGAAACCCCCACATGTCTCTTAATTTAAATCCCATATTTTTAAACTCGGCCCATTGAAACCGTCCGAGGTGCGGCTTGGTGCGCAGGCACAGCAAGTCCAGCCGCTGGCGCTCCAAGACCTTCAAGTACCTTCCAACGAAGCCAGGGATTTGCCGATGGAAAATGGTGACATCTTGGAATTTTACGGATTGTTGTGGTGATTTATTGGGATTTTATGGATTTTTGTTGTGATTTATTGGGATTTTATGGATTTTTGTTGTGATTTCTTGGGATTTATTGGAGTTTTCATGGTGGTTTATTCAAAATCCCCTGCAGATGGTCATTTGTGGGTGATTGATTAGGCTTTGATAAGGGCTTTAATGGGAAATCACTAGGGCAGTTTTCACTGAGAACTCCGCCGTAGCGATCCATCCCATCCACATCTAATCTGGTTGGTGGTTGACCCCTCTAAATCTGGAGGCAGTTGGGATGATAGCTTTCCCATATATTATGGAAAATAAAAAATGTTCCAAACCACCAAGCAAATATCAATTGTCAATGTGGACTTCAAATGGGATCAATATATGGAAAAAAAATGTTCCAAACCACCAAGCAGTAGTGGGAATATCAAAAACAATTTGGGGATAGGTAGAATGATATCATGATTATGATTCATCCACGAATTCATCTCTTCATACTGGTTGGGAGCGGGTTCTCATTATTGGTGACAATTATCTCACGGGTTTTGGTCATTGGAAGGCTACTCCTCTCTTGGAATGGATGATTCTCAGGGTTAAGCTGTTAGTTGAATTTCAACCCCCCTGACACTGAGCATTTAATCGGCAAAAAGAATGAGATCAATCATCAGAAACTTAAGTTTGATATTTGGCTCTGAAAAAAAAGGTTGCCTTCCACAAACCCCACCCCCCCGCAAAAAAAAAAAACAAGAAATGGTTATGGGTCAAAACCCTGGCACCCTAGGTACCCTGAAATGATTAGATGTTTAATGGATGTTTATTCCCCAAAATATGGTACCAATAGGTTTTGACGCCTCCCGAAATGTTGCAGATTCTTTATGGTTCACCCTTTCCAGCTGTCCAATGGTCCAACCTCTCTCCATATTTGTGACCACCCTCCATCTCCCCGCAAGAAATCCCTCGCCCGGCCTTTGGGTCAAGGGGTGCTCGATGGTATAGTAATCGTTGATCAGGTCGTGAAAATAGCAAACACCGGCCTTCCAGCAGCCGAGATGCACGTCTTCCGTTTCTGCTGTGCTCATGTGATATCCAAAAAGCTGGAGCTTCCCAGTTTCAGCTGAAGTGCATATAAATGTATATACCGTTATATACCATTAACAGTAACAAGGTCATAACACGGTCGCGCAGCATGGAGTCATTGAGCATGTCATGCAAGTTTGCGGTGAGAATATCTGGTTCTTACGGCTTAATACTCAAAAATGATGGCCGTCTGTGCCATTTCCATTGAACAAACATAAGCAAATCACCTTCGGGCACATCACAATGATGGGATATGGTGGGCCCAATTCCAATCAATCAAGCGGGCCCACGGAACATCGACAATTGTGACCCCACATTTTTTTCTGGGACCATGGCACAGCATTGCATCTTCCACAACATGAAATCAAAAAAAATGCCATCTGAAAATACTTACCTCCCCCAACAAGAGAGCCCAGTTTTATGAGCCATGGGTATCCTTAAAATCTCTCTCAGTTGACGTTCATGTATTAATCTATGTTAATATCCTGTATCTATGTCTTTTAATCATACATATCAACTAACCCATGGGTTCAGACCGTTCAGACCCCCGAACGAACTGTGGAACTGGTTGAACTTAAAAATTACCGTAGGATGAGTGGTGTCATCACTTTCTTTGGTAATTTCCCTCGTTGAACATCGCTTGGGCGATCACAAGTCATGAGATCATTTCTTTTTGAAATCCTTGGAGAGCCGCTTGCTGCTCCAAGAAAAAGCGACGTGGTTGGCCAAAATACAGAGAGTGTCTGGGTTTCAGTGATGTTGCGTACCTAAAACAAGGCCATGTTTGAGGCGGCGCAACTCCAATGGAATTGGATAGAATTACCCTCCAGCAATCAAACAGAGCATTGGATAATCCCCCAGATGATTTCACACTAAAACCTCCGTTTAGTTGGGGGGTTTCCCACATTGCCATGTTTGATGACACTGGAGGGTAGCCATTAATACGGGAAGTTTAAAGTGGCTATTGAAACTCACCATTTTTACTAGGTAAATCATCGAACTTGTTCAATAGCTATCTTACTTAAAGATACTTGAAGTATCAAAGGACAATTAGCCGTCAATAAGTTAGCATATCGACAGTCTAGTTGTTGTAATACTAACTTAGTTATACTCCCTAAGTTAGTTACTTTTTCCTAACTTAGATATGTGCTAATCAGCTGACCCATCAACGTTTCACCGCTCCAACCCGCTTAAACGCCTTGCTCACTTTCATCTCCGCTTGCGGAGGCATGGGGCAGGCCAGCATTTCCTTGGCATCCCACAACCGAGCCGTGTTGGGGCTTAGTTGAGGCTACAAGTAGCTCATGGGAATTTTATGTGTTCCAAATGCATCTGGGGTTGAGGGGTCTTATATTATATATATATAATAATAATGTATATATATTATATTATATATATTATTATTATATATTATATATATTTATATACGATGGGGGTACATGGTACGGGAGTCCCTTTGGCATCACTTTTCAAGCCCCCAGTTTTGGGCCCCCACCGGCCATGTTTTGTCACACTATCTTCCAGTTGTGCAGTTTGAGAAAATTGGCATGGAAGCTGTCCAGACGGCATGGCTTCTGCAGCTAGCACGGCTCACAGCTCGTCGCAGAAAACACAATTTGACTATATCTATAGCCATGTCCTCTGCCGCCGCTGGTATGGAAAGGGATGCTGCGGAAGGTGCTGCTGTAGCCCATGTGCCCGGGATGGATGACCGTATAGCTGCTTTGAAAGCTGAAAGGCAGGCCTTGAAACGCCAGCTGCAGCAAACCAGTCGAGAAGTCAAGGCCCAGGCTGGTTCAATTTCATCCTTGTGTGCCATGTTTGTGTTGGTGAAGCTGTATTGACATTCCATCGTGCCACTTGCACCTTCATCTTTCCCATCTCAGGTTTTTTTTGGTGAAGCTGCATTGCACCTGCATCGCACCACTTGTACTTTCAATCTTTTTGTTTCAGCTCTGCGCCGGGAGAAAAAACGACGCAGAGTCCTGAAATCGGCGGGCAAACTGAGCACCCAAGACCTCTCGTGGCTCCTGGCCTTCAAAATGACCCGTCAGCAGTAGCAGCTTCTTCAAAACTATATGTCTCACTGAAGCACACTCAGCAGCAGCTTCCTCAAAACTATATGTCTCACTGAAGCACTTGTGATTGCTGTCTCCCGAGGAGTCAGCAGCAGCTTCCTCAAAACTATATGTCTCACTGAAGCACTTGAGACTGCTGTCTCTAAAGGAGTCAGACAGGAATGTGGTGAAGTCACACGCGGCAGGTTACCTAACGACTGCTGTCTCCCAAGGCATCAAAAACACGTTTTTGCGTGCTTTGGCACCTGTTTTTGCTGTGGCCCCAAAAAACTACTAAGGATACTTCCAACCATTTTCGCAGACTTTGCATTGGCACGGCAGAGTCACAGCTCATGCACGCATGAAAAACTACTAACCCGTGAAATTGAAATCACAATGGCTTGGACGCAAAACTACTAAGGAATTCTGCCAATTGAAAAGAAATAGAAGAAAGTGTTTCCTTTTTTGTCCATTGAACAATTCCTTAGTAGTTTTGCCACCGAGCCAATACAAAGTTTGAAATTCCCCTTAGTAGTTTTCACACAGAAGCATAGTAGTTTTGCGGCAGAGCCAATATAAAGTTGTGACATCGTGCTTAGTAGTTTCACACCGAAGCATGCTAGTGTTGCAGTGGAGCCAATGCAAAGATTGACATCGCCAACGGCCAGTGAAGCATTTCATCTTGCAGCTGTGATGTGCCACCTGCCGTGACGGCACATGTGTTTCTTCCTAATTCAAAGGGCCTTTCCGGCCACATGCGGCCCCCCCCTGCACCCCCCGGAATCAAGGTTGACGAAAATGTCTTGCTGTGAAGACCTGACGCTTTGGAAGTTGGCTGCTGCAGTGATTAACACCAGGAAACAACATTGATCCTGGGGGTGCGGGGGGGGAGCCGCTGCTGTGACCCTATACGTGGGGCCTCGTGCTGTGTGTGCAAAAGGTCTGAATTTGGGGTCGCTAACGGACGCTGATTTCAGCCCTCTTCATTGAGGGCCCTCCTTGTGACAACACAAACCTGCATGATGTGGAGAGATAACCAGCAGTGTATTTTCCATAACAGTGTCATAACACAAACCCACATGATTGGACGGCTCATCATCATTGTTCGGTCTTGCCTGCTCCTCACAGGTCGCCTCTCCTCGATGTTTTTTCCTGGACGCAGCCATATGAATCAAGTCTTGCCGCGCTGACTGCATGCAACAGCAATATAGTTTTTGTTTTTTGCATGAGCCAGACATGAATTTGTATGCTTTGAAATGCCGAGGCCATGCTTTGGCCGCACTCATTAGGTCATCTTCCTTGCTTCCATTCGAATTCAGCTGTATCAGACAGCATTGGTTTGACATGACACGAATGTTTTCAATGAGTCTGCCGACAGATAGTTTTTCTGCGGTCAGTCATGCAGCCGCCCTGTGGTGTGGCCGAAGGCACATCTGATGCCAGGGTGTCAGACTTGAAGGAAGCCTTGGTGCAGAACGGCAAAGCACTGAAAGCGGCTTATCGGCAGAATGCCAAAAAACGGAAAAGGTTGCACTGTGCCGGCCTTGGAGTGGCAGCCCGCAAAATTGTGGTAGCTGTTTACATGCTGTCGAATTTTAACATGGATTTGACTCTCCGCATGGCTTGTGCTTTGACAACGATATCCTATGGCAGCAATGGGTACCCACGGCAGCTTTGATCCAAGAGATGTTGCTGACGACGCCGCTGCCAGATTTGACCGCTTTGGATGACACAGCTTCACGCAAAGCGCAAGCCTTCCTGGCCGAAGCAGCCACAGAGCAGTGGGTCTATGACTGCAATACGAATCATTGTCAAGCACCTTCTGCGATGGACACGTTTTTGAAGTGGGAGGAGGCCTTCCATGGCCAGAAGCTGGACATGGGTGTGCCAAACAAACGCATGGTCAATAAGTGGGTGCAGCGCTGGCGGGCTCGGTGGGGCGTCCGCCGGAAGGTGCTGAAGCAAGTTGTTAGCAGAGACCCCGCTGTACTGCGCGACAAGGCGCGGGCCAGCCAACTTACAACATTTTGTCTTCTTTTTTTGGGTTGGCTGGCTCCATTTTTGGGGCCGGAATGTGGCCCCAAAAATGGGTCCCCCTCATGTTTCATGCCTGTATAAGCCTACTTAATCCCGGTTGGGCGGTCCCATTTTTGGGGCCAGAATCTGGCACCAAAAATAGGCCCCCATTTTCAATCAATTTCTTCCCTCGGAATTATATTTGGGGACCCTATATATAATAAGGCTTTGTCTTTCACTTCCTGCAACGCTCGAGCAGGTCATGACATTTTGGCGGGCCATCTGCTATTGCCACAGCAGGCTCGCAGACAGGGAGCTACTTTTTATAAATCTGGATGAGACTAGCGTCGGCCACACCATGACACCGCCTATTGGATGTGTGGCAAAGCCACGGACAGCAGGTGGCAAACAGCCGCATGCACAGGTGCTGAAGCAACATGTTCGAGGTGCGTGGACTTACTTATGTCAGCGTGATTTGCAACTGCAAGCACATCCAAGGGAAGTTGCCTCATTTTTTCATTGGCACCCAGGTGAAACTCACGAAGAAGCTCTTGCGCGCCCAGCGCGCTTTGCCACAAACTCGTTTGCGTGTTTTGCGGCAAAAGTCCGCTTGGACCTCTGCTGCCAACAGTGCCCAAATTCTCAAAGAGATCGCAGAAGTGCTGAAAAGTTTTCCGTCAAAACAAGGCGTTGTACTCCTTGATTGTGCGCCGGCACACCTGCCACGGCAGGTCATGGCAATGGCACGCAAGTGCAAGCTGCAGCTTATATATATCCCAGCGCAGACAACGGATTACCTACAGCCGCTTGATCTGCAAGGCTTCTCCCCTTTTAAACAATATTTGAAAAGGAAGCACCAGGAGTTGCGCTCATATTCAGAGCACGGTTTAGTGCCTCCTCTGGCCTGGCTATGGCAGTGCATGCAAGCCCCTCACGAATTTTGGGCAGCTCGGCAATGGCAGAAAAGCTTCGATGCAGTGGGCTGCAATGGCCCAGGTCAAGTGCACAAAGCGCTTCAACACTTGATGGGTGCAGGGGTGCCTTGGCCTGGGCCTGACAGGCCGACACCCCAGCAGATGCAGTGCGTTTGGCCAGCGCGACGCCAAATGGCGCACGCGTATAAGGTTCTTTTTCTTTGATGCTGCCGCTCCGGGTGGATCCAACAGATTTGCAGACGTGGGTGGCACTATAGGACAAAGATTTTTTTTCCATAATACTATGGGGGTACATGGTACGGGAGTCCCTTTGGCATCACTTTTCAAGCCCCCAGTTTTGGGCCCCCACCGGCCATGTTTTGTCACACTATCTTCCAGTTGTGCAGTTTGAGAAAATTGGCATGGAAGCTGTCCAGACGGCATGGCTTCTGCAGCTAGCACGGCTCACAGCTCGTCGCAGAAAACACAATTTGACTATATCTATAGCCATGTCCTCTGCCGCCGCTGGTATGGAAAGGGATGCTGCGGAAGGTGCTGCTGTAGCCCATGTGCCCGGGATGGATGACCGTATAGCTGCTTTGAAAGCTGAAAGGCAGGCCTTGAAACGCCAGCTGCAGCAAACCAGTCGAGAAGTCAAGGCCCAGGCTGGTTCAATTTCATCCTTGTGTGCCATGTTTGTGTTGGTGAAGCTGTATTGACATTCCATCGTGCCACTTGCACCTTCATCTTTCCCATCTCAGGTTTTTTTTGGTGAAGCTGCATTGCACCTGCATCGCACCACTTGTACTTTCAATCTTTTTGTTTCAGCTCTGCGCCGGGAGAAAAAACGACGCAGAGTCCTGAAATCGGCGGGCAAACTGAGCACCCAAGACCTCTCGTGGCTCCTGGCCTTCAAAATGACCCGTCAGCAGTAGCAGCTTCTTCAAAACTATATGTCTCACTGAAGCACTTGTGATTGCTGTCTCCCGAGGAGTCAGCAGCAGCTTCCTCAAAACTATATGTCTCACTGAAGCACTTGTGATTGCTGTCTCCCGAGGAGTCAGCAGCAGCTTCCTCAAAACTATATGTCTCACTGAAGCACTTGAGACTGCTGTCTCTAAAGGAGTCAGACAGGAATGTGGTGAAGTCACACGCGGCAGGTTACCTAACGACTGCTGTCTCCCAAGGCATCAAAAACACGTTTTTGCGTGCTTTGGCACCTGTTTTTGCTGTGGCCCCAAAAAACTACTAAGGATACTTCC